TTGCTGGAGACTTGGAAGAAGTTTTACCATGGAAAAGACTAAATGAACATGTGTTTGGACACAAATGGGAAACACATCAATCCCCATGGAGTGCAAGATCTGTGGCTTTTGGAAGACTGCTACAAAATAGGGGGAAAAAGCAAAGCCTGGGAAAGAAAAGGAACATGCCTTTATTCACCATAAATAAGAAAACAATTGCTGGCTCAGAAATGTCTGTATCAGAAGCTGCTTTTAAAGGCAGAGCCTTTAAAGCACTTCCCAGCCTTGTTATTTTTGAATTTTTCCAACAGTTCCTCTCAGTTGGAGCACTTATGTCCAAAACCAGCACCAAATATGCTGATAAAACCTGCACTATTGGCAATGCAAGATGCTAACACTGGCACCTGAACCTGTCCCAGAACAGAGACACTGAGCCAAGAGATGATATTTACATCTTCCACGTGAAATGTGAAGCTCTGTGTCATGAGCTGAATGACTTGTCACCGAGAGACATCCCAAAATCCACCCTCCTGGTGGGGGGCATGGGCTGTTCTGGCATTCCCCCTTCTATCCTGGTTCTGCCTCCCAGCTCCTGCCAGCAATGACTGCAACCATCAGCACTGAAAGCATATAAATTCTGTGAATACCACTTGAACTTTCTCCTCTGTTTATTGGGGCCTCGCAACAAATGCCTTTGAAGCCTCATCATCAACCCCATCCTGCCCCTTACCTAACCAAGACCCATCTCCTTAAAGGACACTCAAACTCTCTCACAGGCAAAGCTGCCTAGACACAAACTGGTGCAGAGCTTGAATTTTGTTTTAAACCACAAATTCCTAGAACATTGCTCTGTGGTCAGCTGGAAGGAGTCAGAGCAGCCTCCAGACCATTTATCGAAAGCAGAGTCAGCTTGTTTCACACCTCTCTTAGGGTTCAATTACTCACAAAATAGACATTTATGCTGTGAATAGGCTTTCTGAGATCAATGATGGGCTCTGCTGTGATGAAGCCAACCCCACGTGTTAGCTCTGCAGGAGGCACTTGCAGAAGGAGGTGCTGCCTGCAGCAGGATCAGGCACCTCTCCTTCATATCCAACAGAAGAGCTGCCACAGCCATGCAACAGGCAAAGTACCAAGCACCAGCACCTCTCTGCTGGAAATCACCCTTTTCTTTATCACATAATAAATTACGCTGCTTTATACGTATAAAATGAGGTCGAAGGGAATCACTTACCCACTGTTTGCGCGCATGATTTCTCCTCTTAAAGTACAAAATTAACTTTTTCCGCATTGCCTGGTTTCTGTAAAGAAAGAAAGAAAAAAGATGAGATCCGATTAATGAGGCAGCTAAAATACACAGCTTGGCTTTCCCTGCTCCCAAGGGAGTTTGCAGAGCAGTTCCCACCTTGGAATTGCATCAACTTCAGAGCAGCAAATGCTGTTATCTGGGACCTCAAACGGGCTTAGAGAAAGATCAACAAACACACTGACACTTCAGCCACACCTGTTGCTCAAACCAGGACTAAGGATGAGAACTAAATTCATACACACTCAGTTCTGCAAACCTTCCCTGTGTGCTCAGCACCACACACAGGCAGGTGCTCACTGCTGCATCTACCAATGGGTCAGGCTGTCTCTTGACTACTTTTTACATGTAAACCCCAGTGGGTCCCCAAGAGCTGGGGGGCTCAGGCCAAGCTCTGCACAGCAGGAGGTGGCACCCCCCAAGCTGAGGCCACTCTGAGCACCCTGGTGCCCAGGGCCAACAGCGATGAGGCTGTTGGTGCACACACAGTCCCAAGAGGTTGTTCACCCCCAGGCTTCGAGGTGCTGATAAGGAGGCAGGATCACAGCAGGGTTTGCAGCACTTATTTCCTGACCTCTTGCTTCCTTGGAGCTGTGCCCAACAAAGCTGCAAACAGCCAGGAGAGTTCAGCCACTTGCAGAATAAGGACCTCAAGGGAGAAACTGGTCACCGCAACCTCAACTACCCCTGTCTGCCCAGACAACCCCTGTTTTCTTCTTCTTTCTACTTTCTAAAGGCAGCATGAAATAACTGCTCAAAGAGAAGCAGCACCAGAGCAGAACAGAGCTGGAAAGGCTGCAGGAGTTCCCAGAGCCTGCATGAGCTCCTGCGGTTGTTCCTGTTACTAATATTCACAGCAATAAAATCTCTAGGTAAAAGGTAGAGACCAGGGGCAAAGGAGTTTCCTTAAGTCTTTTATCCCGATTAAAGGCAGAGCTGCAGTGTGTAATTACTGATCTGGAGCTTAGCAGTCTCATGCAGGCATGTTCTGTGGGATTTAGCCAAATGAAGAGACACCCTTACTGCTTCCTCATTTCCCTCCTCCCTGGCTAGTGGGAAGAGAAATACCACTCTCCTACTCTTGGAAATCCCTCAGCCTAATAGCAGTGAACGGGACTTTTTGGGAAGGGGCAGAGAGTCCAGCTCACTTAGAGAGAGGACTGGGGGCAT